AAAGGTCAAAGTGTTTCTTCTTGGAAACACAAAGGAGCTCAACATGAAAATACTTTAGATCTAAAGTGACCTGCTAAGGTGTTCATGCCCTTTTAACTTTTCCAGATTTTGCCATGTGGCACACTTCAAGATATTTTAATGGGCTTTTATGCAAAATACTGACAAAGTACTGAAGTGGAAGGGAAACAATGCAGTTTTCAATTTGATTTCACAACTAGAAAATGCCAACGAAAAGCATCCCCTCTAGCATGATCCCTGCACCACCATATTTTACCAGTTGTGTGCCATCCAAAGCAAGAGATCTAGACAAATGTAACAGAACAGCTGGGTACAATGAAACTTTAGACTTCTTTATTGTCCATTAAACTTACACAAAGTGGAAAATTTGCTTTGGTAATGGCACAAAGACGCACAACACAAACACACATCATAGTCAGCACAATAAGGAAAAATAATAGATATATGTAAAGATGGTAAAAAAAAAACTGTGAAATAAAATCAAGTCAAAATGTCGTTCACAAATAAAATGTACAATTCTTTGCTTATCCATGACGATTTCAGAACTTGTTTTGATTCCTGTAAGCGGGTAAAATGTTTAAAACTTGCGGCCGATCAGAGATCGGCTCTAAAACGGCAGCTTATCAGCAACAAAACAAGATGGAATCAGTCATTTCCCTCCTTCTTTTATTGGTTCAGTTGTTTACATTCGAAGTTTATTTTTCTGGGAAGTGAACGGTTCTTTCCTTTCACCAAAATGCAAACTTGTCTTATTTCTACTTCTCAAATTTATCCAGTAATTTGCCTAAATAAGTGCTTTGTTGTCTCCTGTTGTTTGTCCGACTTAGAATGTCAACTTTAGTCATTCTTAATGATTCTAGTTATGTTTCATGAGTTCAGGTGCCAATCTTTTGATTATGGGAGACACATTTTCTATGAAAACAGAAAACAGACCAGTTACCCTGGTCCTGTTGACATGAGTGGTTGTTTTTAGCTGTTTGTGTTGATGCTGTTGGATGAATCCTGGATGTGTCTCCGGTGGGACCACTCTTTCTGACACTGGCCAGTTCATTTTGCTCCAGAAAGTCTTGAAAGCACTGATTCAAGACACACTGGGTACTGTTGCAGCCCCAGACTGATGACCGAGCCCCCTTTGTGTTTCATTGAAGGAACGGCACCTTTTACTTTGAATGCATCATTTACAGGTCCTTGCACAAAGAAATGATGCTGCTTGACAAAAATCCACCTTTTTGTGAGTTGGGATCTTTGCAGCTGGTTAATATGTATTTAGGTAATTTCAAGACTCACTTTGGTTGCGATTTGCTTTGAACAAATCTTAGCTACCTCTAAGTTCACCTGCAATCTGTTTGGAAGTTCTTCTTGGCTCATTGGCCAGCATTCACATAGTCCAACTTTTAATTTTCTTCTTGCCGATTGACGGTGGTCGTGGTCCTGTGGGACTTAAATCTCTCAATGACATGAGAGCGACGGTGGACAACATGATCCCAAGCTGCAGTGACCACTTTTCACCTCATGAAAAGATTGACTGATTACGCCATGGGAAAGCCTTTGACTCTAATTACTACACAGAGTTAAATATGTCCATCTGGTCATATTATGTGCATTATGTGAACTATTCTGTAGGGGTATGTTACGTTTTTTTCATCAGTTTCATTATGATTATGATTCTTATTATGATTAGAGACAGCCTTCTATCTCTATTTTCATTTGGTATCTAACTTTGGGAATCTGTCCTTGGCTTCCTAAAGTTAGTTGTTTTATGTTCATACATTGAACACAAATAAAAACTTTGCATTGAGCAAACTCACAATCTGGACGCGATTGTTCCTGGTAAAAGTGATGAAGATTGGTAATATTCCTAATTTTGAACTTCACACTTCATCTTTTTATCCTACACAATCCACTTTTTTGTTTAAACACGCATTACATGGGTGTAATAAATATGTTTTGCTCCAGTGATAATTAAAAAAATGCCCTTTGACTGGGATCAGGGAAGCGTTTGTTTTTCACCTGGCTGCTCCCCTATAGATCAGTTCAGACAGACAGACTGCCTGGGCAGAGCGGGCGATCATTATCTGCTTCCCTCAGCATATCGACAGGCCCGCTGTTCATACCTCGCCATACGTGGGAGGGAAGTTGGGCGCTGATAACCTGAAAACCTGCTAAAGTACTTCTGAACCATGTCCACGGAAAATCCCAGCAGCTTATTGCCATAGATATGTATTGTGTAAAAGAAAATTGCCTGCATGGAAAAGGGGGGTGGGGGGGAAAGAGTCTTTGTGTGTTGAAATAGGTTATATTCATGAATACTTTTAGAGTTCAAGTCAAACAAAAAATGAAAAGACAACTTTAAGTGAGGTCATATTAGAATTACACATAACAGAGATGAAACCAAGGCATTAGTGAACTAAACTAATGACTTAGGGCCCCTAAACTATTCGTCCCATAACGGTCTGATCATAAATCTATATTTTTACAATTTTCTTTTGGTAAAGAGAATATTAGTTTAAAAAAAATCCACACTTTCAGCATAGATAAAAAATAAAGGACTTTAAATGGGTAAAAATTAAGGAATTTGCAAGTTTACTCTTTAAAAATGCTTAATATCATCTTAACTGTTTGATTATTGTGTTGCCACAGTTACAATCTGTTGGTAGAGTTTGATCCTTTCTTTGTGTTGAAGCTCAGTTTGACTACAAATTACACCTCGGCAAACAAAATTACCTTTTATCAAAGCCAATTAAACTTGGTCCTCTCTCCCAGATTTTGCCAAATCCATAATCTGTTTGGGGTGATGATGATCTGAACAGGAAGACAGGCCCGAATCTAATTCTGTCAAAGGCTCCCACCTTGAATCAGCCCTGTTTTATAAGTCAGGGCTGATTCAAGCCCTGACTTTAGCAGGTCTTAAGCAGTAAACTGAATTACTGCTTAAGTAATTCAGTTTACTGGCCAGCAGGGGGCCGGCAAGAGCCCATCAGTTCCCACTCTGTATCCATCTCATGCTAAATATTTTTATGTAATTTGCATGAATAAATGCAGAATTTCATAAACTTAAGCTTCAAAAGAACTGACAATAGCCAGCACAAAGTAAAACTATAACATTTCTGTTCTCTACTATCAAAGTAAAATACAAACACAAGCAAATGATGTGGCTATATTTAAATCATTTGTCATGCATTTGTCTGAAGCAAGATCATATTTCTCACTTGCTGGTCTGTTTACAAAAAAAAAAAAATTAAAATGTCAACAGTTTATTGAAGCGTTTACAAAATGCTCAGAAATACAAATGGTTAAATTTGTTTTGTCTTCATAAGTCAGCGAAATATCACAACATCCACAGCTGATTTCCTGCGTTTGCCTTTTAAAAATACTTTGCTCAAATACACTTTATTTAAATGAAGTAAATCAAATTTTACCTGATGAAAATTATAACTTCTAATGTTCAATCCATAGCCTGAATATATTTCTTTTCCACAAGATGCATATTTTATCTGCATGTAAAATGTATAATTAGTACATACCTTCTTTCTTGTAGGTGTTTGAAATGTTTTATAAAACAGTTTTTTTTTTTCCTTGGGTCGGGCTAAATTAATGAAAATTGAAAGCATCAATGAGCAGGAAAAAACTGTACAGTTAAGAAAATTTAGGATTGTAGAATTTTATGTAAATCTATTTTAAAGGATTTTGAGTTGCATCTTTATAAATCACAAGATTGCTGACAGGATGATTTTCTTTAATAATTCACTTCAAAATGGAAAACTACTATACTACATAGATACAATCATTACTGACAGTAAAATGTTCCAAGGCATCTCTTTTTTTAATTGCATCATTATGGCTTACAGTTAATTAAATGCCATAGTCAAATTTCTAAATAAAAAAATATTTTTAAAAAAATTGATATTAAAATCAATCAAAAAAATATTGTATGTAATATAATGATCATCATTTGGACAGTCATTGGCATCTTTCGTGAGAAACAAGACATTGTTGCTAAAGAAGCTGTCTAGCAGGGTGCTCTGATAATGGAAAATTGAGTGGAAGGAAAACATGTTGTGGAAAAGGGAGCACAAGCAGGAGTAATAATATATACTGCTAAAAAAAATAAAGAAAAATAAAGGGAACACTCAAATAACACATCCTAGATCTGAATGAATGAAATATTCTCATTTAATATTTTGTCCTGTACAAAGTTGAATGTGCTGACAACAAAATCACACAAAAATCATCAATGGAAATCAAATTCATTGAATGAATGAAATATGAGAATATTTCATTCATTCAGATCTAGGATGTGTTATTTGAGTGTTCCCTTTATTTCTTTGAGCAGTGTACATATATATAAAGGTAAGGTAATATAATCTTCTGAAAAACTGAATATTGAGGTTTTTATTTGCTGAAAGACAAAATTGCAGAATTCAATCCATTTGTCTACACATGGCACTTCACGTGTTTAAGAAGTGATTCTCTGCACTTTTGTTTTATTTCATTTCATTTTTGGTGCATTTTGCACTTTGGTCACGTTGTGAATAGAGAAAATAAATGTGTGCTGACTTGGTTTATCCTGAAACAAGTTCATCTTTTAATGGCATTCTAATGAATTAACGTGCCTGAAGTTTAAAATAGTTAAATAAAGTTCAGGTTGCAAAAGTGTCAGCGATCAATGAGAACCTCTGTAATAAAACGCAATAAGTCCTCATTCAGATGACTTCTAAACAAAAAACAAGAATCCGATTTCAAACGAGAGCTGTCGTTTCCAGAGTCCGAATATGCTTTTGATTAAAGCGCAATCCTTTGACCAGCGGCTGTAAGCAGAAACATTTGTATCAGCTTCACACACCTGGGCACAAACAGCGTGAGAACCTGTGTGACATGAAAGAAGGCGCTTGTTACATTCGTGTGCAATCAGTGGGCGGAGGGTGTGCACCTATGGACATTCTCACGCCACTCAACGCATTCGGGTTTCCATCATCCGGACGCACAGGCGGACAGTCTGGTTGAGCCATGGCCTCAGAGGAGAAAACCTTCGAGACCCAGGAAATGCAGCTGCTGGATATCACCTCCAGCTCCCCACAAACAGACTCCAAAGGTTCGGAGGAAACCGAGCACGAGGAGGGGCCCGTCCGGCCGGATAAGCCGCCGTATTCATACGTGGCTCTGATTGCGATGGCAATCAAAGAGAGCCAGGAGAAGAGAGCGACTCTGAGCGGGATTTATGAATACATCATATCAAAGTTTCCATACTACGAGAAGAACAAGAAAGGATGGCAGAACAGCATTCGGCACAATTTGTCTCTCAATGAGTGCTTCGTCAAGGTCCCCAGGGACAGCGGGGGAGACAGGAAGGGCAACTACTGGATGCTGGACCCGGCTTTTGGGGACATGTTCGAGAAAGGGAACTACCGGCGCCGGAGGAGGGTGCGGAGACCCTACAGACCCGCCAGCCTGCCGTACCTGGCGGGAAACCACATGGAGCATCCAGAGTCCCTCTACCTTCAGCCGTATGTGAGCGGCGCCTGGGCGGGTGGGTACCCCGCGCCGCAGGTCGTCTCCGGATCCACCCGCGGGCTGCCCATCGGCGGTTCCTACTGCGCGCCGCCGTACTTCCATCCCTCCGTTTACGGGGCCTACCCACACCGCCACCCGCCCGTGCTGGTTCCACACAGCGGGTACCCTTATGGAGGAGTGACCCAGCCGGTGAGCCCGGACGGAGGCGCAGTGTCTGTGCCGCAGTTCGCTTCCTACTCGCGGCAGGCGGAGTCGCCGCTGGTTTATTTCTCGGAGCAGTGAGGGCTACCTGCGTGTTTTCCGACCGGCGGCCGCCCGTTCACAGACTCACGATTCATTTCAGGTTCTGCAGGCCGACGTTGGTGAAGTTCGTAAAGTTTACTATTTCATGGTTAAAATATTTTCTTTCTTTTCTTTTTTTTTTTGGCTCTGGACAATAACAGATTTGATTGAAGTTGTTTGAAATTAAATCGATTAAGCTGCCAGAACGACATGAGATAAATACACAGATATTTTATTTCCAGTTGTGTAAGGAAAATGTTGTCAACCTACATATTTTATTAACTTTTATTTTTGTATTTAGAAAACTCTGAAATAGGCTGTTTATGTACTGATGTATTGTTATTTACTGATTTTATTATTATTGTTGTTGTTCTGATTCTTTGAGCTGCTATAATGACACTGATGCACTGACTCGTTCATATTGTTTAAATTGTTACGACTGCATAAATAAAATAATTTTGCATATTGTCACTCATTGTCTCATTCCTTTATGTTCTGCAAATACTGTTCAATTGTAGAATAAACGTTCATATTTTTTTTCTAGAAAACATAAGTAAATATTTTAAAGCAACTCATCTGGGGAAGCGACTTCGAACAAATTTAAAGAACAAATAGTTGCTTATAAAAAAGTTTCCTGGGAATTTCTTTGGAGGTTTATTTGTACGTTTTGGAAAAGAACGAGGTTTAATTCTGAACAGCATGTAAAAAAAAAGTCATAAATAAAAAACTTTAAAAATAGTCACAATCTCAGATAAAGATTTTGGTGCTGCATTTGAGGTACCTCGGAAGTAGTAAATCTGGAGGAGAAAAAAAACTGAGAAAACACAATTTTCCCAGTTTAATACATTAAAACTCCTGGTTTTAATGTATTTTTCATTGGATGCAGGCTTTGTTGTTGAAATAGATGACGAGATTAAATTTAAACGTCCAATTTTAAATTTAATCTCTTTAATTTGTAAAGTAGATAACAGTTTGGCAAAAAACATTACGTTTGTTGCCATTGCGTACCTTGACGGAAATTAGGTCAAATATACCCTCATTTTGAATGTGTGCCCCATTTCCTAAAATGTTTCTGAACGTTCTCCCGGAGAACAGCGAATGAACTGAACGGAACGGAAGTTCCTACGCACTTCCGCTTCATGTCCGGGGGGCGTGAACAACAGGAGTATCTTCACCGCGTGCTCCCTAGCCCAGTGTTTACCGCTACATTTAAAACACTACAACAAAATTTCATCTTAGAAATGGAGAAGTTTAACATGCTGCTGTTGGACTACCCTCAGTTAATGTACGGCGGGGTTGGAGCGACAGCGTTCATCGCAGGCGGAGCGCTAATCTACAAGCTAGCTACTAGGTAAACACTCCGCTTTTTCGGCCATCCAAACCAGCGTCCCGTGGTTTATAACACGGTTAGCAAAAAAAAAAAAAAAGTTATTTGCGTTTAGTTAGTTTTTTAAAGAACTGCTGCAACATTTAGGTGAAGTGGTTATTTGCGTGCATTTTGTCTCGTCTTTAGTACTTGTCTGCGAACATGCGCTAGCCTGCGTGCTAACGATGCTAACAGCTGCACTAACATCAATACAGCTGTAATTGTTTTATGATGCTCAAATACTACACTATCCACCGCAAGAACAAGGGTAGTAAGGTGTTGTCCAATCGTTCCTGGCCCATTCCGACCTTATGAGCTCCCCAGCTGTCAAAACTTTTTCCATGTTTTGTAGCGGAATATGTAAATAAAACAAAATGCCAATACCTTGATATTTGCAGTATTTGTCACTTTTTAAAATTAATGAAATAACTATAAGATTGATCTGATTATGCATCACGGATTTCTATTAACCTAAAAATTAAAAATGACTTTACCTCACTTGCTTGTATGTTTTTACTTATTGATAATGACGGGAGTTCTTAGTTTTAATGCATTAAGTTAACAGGGGGAAAAAAGTCTTCATTTCCACGTTTAACCTGCTGATCAGAAATGACTCTGAGAGGAAATTTATTCCCCTCTTGCCTATTGACTGATGCATTTCTAATCCTAAACATCTATTGTTACTGAGGGTAATGAGTGGCTTTTCCCTCAGTTTACACACATTGTGATTGTCACAACTTTTCTTTTACTGGAGTTGTTGCCACTTACTTTTGTATATTTGACAAATATGTTACAGGTCTTGCTGGCGTAGCCTTTTTAAAACTTCTGCAGAGTGTGTTCACATTCGCCCATGAGTTTTTAATTCTTCCACACCTTCCGCCTCTGGGCTGTAACATAATCGAATGGAATGCTTGATAAATAACAGAATCAACTAAAAGTTGCTTATTGCTTGCAGGAAGAAGCCCGCTTATGCAAATGTAAACTGCTGGTTCTGCAATCAGAACACAGTGGTGCCTTATGGAAACAGGAACTGCTGGGATTGTCCCAACTGTGACCAGTACAATGGCTTCCAAGAGGTAAATTCCAAAACATTTTATTTTTAGCTTTGGAATCTTTATATATATATATATATCACGTAGATGCATTTCTATGTACTTCCTCTGTTTTCTGTTTGCTTTTTCTTTATAAGAATGGAGATTACAACAAACCCATCCCAGCTCAGTACATGGAGCATCTTAACCATGGTGTATGTGGAAGCGTTCCTTCATCTGAGACTCCGAAGACTCTGCAGTGGGTCAACTGTCAAATGCTGCTGTGCAGGAAGTGCAATAATAACCAGACTGTGAAAATCAAGCAGCTGGCTTCATATGTTCCCAGGGATGATGTAAGTAATCACTTTGAAAGCATAATATTTTTTCAAGGGGGAAGGGGGACTCCAAATCTGATCCCTTTTTCTGTCTTTTTTTAGGACAATTACGATGAGGAAATTGAAGCCTATAAGCATCACCTGGAGCAGACTTTTAAGTTATGCAGACCGTGTCAGACTGCAGTGGAATATTACATAAAATATCAAAACCGCCAGCTTCGTACGAGGCTCCTAACCCACCAGCTCCGGCGCTCCCGAGAATCAGACTCCGGGTTTGTGAAGGTGAGTGCAACCAAAAATGTAAATAGATCAGTATAGTAAAGTTTTCAGCAAAAGAAAAAGTCTTATTTTGTCAACTTTTTCTTATGTTCCAATGATGCATTGTTCTTTGTTTTTCTTCAATGAAAGGAGTAGAAATGTAGCCATGTTTTCTCTCCCACAGAGCTCCCATTCTCTGTCCTCACCCACCGGAGTCATACTGTTACGGGCCCTGGCCTTCCTGATTTGTGCTTTTCTTCTCACGACGTTTGTCTATAAATTTCCGGAACAGCCTCTCTCTCCCAATCTGCCTCAGACCTTAAGTGGGGGCGTAATTCCTCCAAAGCCAAAATCCAGCAATGAGTCCACCGCTAGCAACGCCACAGATTTGCCTGTGTGGCAGGGTCTGCTGGACTTCATCCCAGAAAAAGCTGTTGAAAACGCCAAGCTAGTCTGGCAGCACGGCAGGGACAACCAGCTGGCTATAGTGTCCGTGGGCCTGATGACTTGTCTCACGGCTATTTTCTTAGCAGGATCGATGCGGTAAGCGTCCACCATGTCTTTGTTGCTTCTGCACAATATTTTAACTTATAATTTGTAACAACAGCAGCTCTGGTGGTTTGAATTTCCAGGTTGAGGAGGATCGATGCTATGGCCTCTGTCCTGTGGTTTGTCGTCTTGTGCCTCTGCCTGGCTGAGAGCTACTTGACCGACACGCCGAGCTGGATGGACTCAGTGAATCTTGTTAGCATCTCCCTCTGTTGCCTCGTCGGCCTCGCCGCCGCTGCCGCGACTCGCAAGCCACTGGGTCAGCGAAGAGCCAGATATCGAAGGTCAGATTTTGAGCAGTAATACACATTCACATTGTGTTTGAATGTTGAGAGTCTACATGTAGTCTTCTCTGGGTGGTCTGTGTAGCAAGATCGAACATAGCTGTGGTCGGTTTTTCCTCAAATAAAAACCCGCACCTGCCTCTTATTAGATAAATAACTTTTAATTTATCAATCATGGTTTGAATAAGTTGTCGTTTTCTTGCGGTGACTGTCAGACTGATCTCAGAATGAATGATGGCATCTTTATTGGATAATGCAACACTATAGAGCTTATCCTAAATCCAGTCCTATAGAAGTGTTTTAAATGACTTTGTTTTTATTTGAGGAAATCTATTTGTCATTTCTCCCTATTTCACTGTCAATTTTTATTCTGTCCCTTTGCTATTCTGTTGTGAGAACAACTGATGAGATTCAAATTGTAAACTCTACTTAAGAACAGTGTAATAATTTACAACAGACGCATGGTTTACATAATAACTGAATCATGGAAAAAAAAGTTGAAGAGATCAACGATAATTTTAAAAAATTTTCTCCATATTTCTCAAAGGTGGGACAAACATTTATTTATACAATCCATTGTGTGAAACTAACATTTGTTTTACGAGTTTAGATTATTAACTATATAAACTATTAACAAAATCACATTTAAGGTGATAGTGTTGAGGGTCTGTAGTCACATTCCTATCAGTATTAACTACTGTATGTTTTTATAGTACTAGGATTTCTGTTTAAAAATGTCTTGAATGTACTAACTTATATTAACACTACCTAGATGCTTCTGCATGAATTACTAATGTCAACTCTCAAAATGTGAACAAATCTTGGCCTGTATTCAGATGAATCACTCGCAGCTGCACAAAAGAAAAGTTTTACCTTGAGCGCATAAAGCAGCGACTTCTAAAGCTGAATGACCATTTTGTTTCATACAAACACTCGGTATGTTATCTTTGTTGCTTACACACTAAAAGTTGCACATGTAACTTTGACTTTCCGATTAATTGCTTGAAAAAACTTTTACGTGTCATAATGAGCGCTGGAAAAACGTAAAACTTAGTAAGAACTTTGAACTAGCTGAATATTTTAAAAAGCATGTAAACTTGTAGGTAGCATAATGTGGGGACGATGCCTTTTTCAGGCAGATCTTGTTATGTCTTTGGTTTGTACAGTCGCTCTTTGAGACCAGACAGTTCTGTCATATAAATATGTTACATTTCTAGATTTATTTCTTAAATTATGATATGTAAAACATTAAAGATGATCAGGTTTGATATTTTAAATTTTAACCTTTTTCCTTTGCCATAAGTTCTTGCATTTGGCATTATTATTAACGGTGCCTGGTCATAGTCTCTGTCTGGTTTCCTTGTGAATATTCTGACATTTTACTTTCTCCTGTCCTCTTTTAAAACGATCCTCCATCTGTCTCCACCAAAATGCCTCTAATCACTGGAAAACATTTGCTCTGTACAGTATTGTGCAAGACGTTGAAATGCTATTTGTCCGTGGCGATCAACCATAAATTGTAGAAAAGTAAGACAGTATTAAGATTGTTACAGAGCTTTTTTATGGCTTCCTGCACTGTCTCTGGTAATCTGGAAAAGTCTGGAATCCAGCTTCAGCTTTGTGTGTTTTCATTATTTCTCAGTAAAATAAATAGCAAAATCCAGCTAGTTGGCAATTCAGTTGCTCAAGTGTCTAAAATCTAATAATAAATAAATAAATCTGAATCTGAAACATTTGGAATTTTGAGTGAAAAGTTCATAATGCTCACATATTTGATCTTTTCCTCAGCACCTCTGCTACATGTGGCTTTCTAGTTTCATTATAATAGTAGGCTGATGTATGATAACATGTTGGTAGTGGTGATGTCAATTAAAGCAGGACTGCGTTCTCTTACCAACAAACATTCTAAGTCTTTGACACTTGGATTATGTAGTAACATGATTGGATCTGATCAAATGCCTCCATTAGTAAAAACATGTAAAGTGCCTACACTTTTGCACAATACTGTCTGTAGTTATCTAAACATGTTTAACTTGATCATAGCAATCTGATGGATGAATACATAACAACTAAATGGCTTGTTTAGGTTTACTTTGTAGATTAAAACATTGCTAAAGTGTTTTATGGTATTATGTAAACAGAAATACTCTGAAAATGTGGTGCAATGATTACAATACTAATATTCCTCTAATCATCATTCTAATTTGTTGGTACATCTGTACTAACACTAACGTTGCATGAAGACAACACGGCAAACCACACTAATTCTCAGTATTACTTTATTTAACTTCACTAAATGAAAATGGATAATAACAGATAAAAACGTGTCTCCAACTGCACAGATTTTATTTTTTTAGTGCAGTTATTAACTGTAGTGTTTGAAGGTGGCGTTTCTGAGTTTGACAGGTTGTGAAAATCATTAGATTAGAAATGTAGTTTATTGTAGTTTTCCGTATTTATTGCTGTGAATTTACTTTTGGTTATCCATAACTGTGGAAACCCACATATAAATTAGATGCCTTGAGGTGTTTTTAGAGTGGTGAGTATGCTGACATTTGATGCCACGCCTGTTGATTATGAAATTTGCGTTGCAAAAGTATTCACGTCCCTTTGTTTTTCCACATTGTCGCATTACAACAACAAGCATCAGGGTGAATTATTTAGATTTTATGTGACAGAGCAACACAAATTGCTTCATATTTGTGAGGAGGAAGAACATCCTGCATAGTGTTTCATTAATCAATGTTCGTATTTTTGTGTCCATCTGTACTCGGCCTCCTCTATTGATGTTTTGAGTTAAAAGTGGCTTCATGTTTGTGGCCTTAATAACAGAAAGAAGGTTGGTGTTGTCACTTTTACCATTTAAGAATAAGATTTATGAACAATCTCACTCTAAATAATTACAAAAAAGTGTCAATTTGCTGTAGAATGAAATTTCTATTTTTATGGACCACAAAATTATTCTTAAGGGCCGCAAATGATCCCAGGCCGCACATTGGACACCCCTGGAGTAAAGGGCATTGAATTCAAATGCATGTCTCATTTTTCAGATTTTCATCTCTAAAATTTGTTTAGAATTTATTATTTTTCCTTTCTCTTCACAATTGTGTGTTTCACTAAATCCTAGAGGAATATGTCAAATGTTGTGGTTGTAACAAGATGAATGTGGAAAAATTCAAGTGCTTCTTACAGTCGCAGCAAACAAAACTTTCCATACTGTAAGTATTGCAGTACTGAAGGAGAATTTTGCCTTTTTCAAAACCATCAGACTGAAAAACCTTATTTGTTTCTTCAAATGCCAAATTGGTACTTCAGTAATTGTGTTTTACTTATTCATGTAAAAGCACAACTTGCCAAATTTTTACATAATGTGGCCAAAACTGGCTATAAATATTTAGTTTACCTGTTTCGTATGCTGTAATATTAATTATCTCCAGCCTCCATATGTATCTTTTTTGCCTCTTTGGGTGAATTCCTGTATCAGTGTAATAAGCTGACTGTTAGTTTTTGCTAAGTAAATATTAAGCTGTAAGAGCACTGTATTAAAACCCTTATGGTAATTTTCATATATAAGCTACTATTTATGAGAACCAAAAGCTGATTTTGTGTGGTTTAAATATTGATTGCTCCATTTTAACAGCATAATGTTGATATTTTTCACCTTCTCTGTTATTGTGAATGTGTAGCATGTAGCCAATAAATGTGATATTTCATACATGGATGTTGCGGCTAAGTGTGGACCCCATAGACATAAAGGCTGGAGGTTTTTTGTTTGTGTTTTTTTAACAGATTGTCATATCTGTTTCCAACATTTTGTCTCAGATCAATCTATTCTCTGGTTTCTGATCTGTAGCAGCCATGAAAACGGAGCTTCATCACTGTTGAGAGGTTTCTTGGAGTTTGCACGTAGAAACATTGTGTTATGGACACTAGCGTGATCTTGATGTCTGGCTTTTCTTTTTTGTGCTTCCTGTTGTTGGCTTTAATAAACAAATAAATACAAAATTGGCTACTGGTATTTTATTCATCAACCGTCATGTCACATCTGTGCTCATGTCTCTTTCACTTGTTCTTTTCTCTGTGTATGTTGCACTATAAACACCGACTGTTGCATTTTATATCGTTTCTCCACCTTTTTGCAGAGATCAGATCTGTTTTTTGTGTTTTCTTGTGCCTTTGTGTGGTTGGTTTTCTTCTTCATATGCAGCATTAACAACACATGAAGCTACAGCCCCAGTTCGGATGTCCACCTGCAGTGATTTATTGTTTTAGCTCGTTGGGTCTGCTTGCTGTTTTTTTGTCTCAACTGTTTTGTCTGTATTCCAACGAAACCCAGCTATTTTTAACGTTTATTGTTCCATCTAATTTTTCACACCGATTATTGATACTGCCCAGAATCATTTCTCAGCAACAGACCGATTTGGTTCTGATGGTGTTTTCAGCCAGTAGACCATTACATTGCCTTTGTGTTGCAGATACCTTGCAGGCAGCTCTGCAGGCCCACCCTTCAGCTGCCAGCCTCCTCCCTTTCACCCACCCAACATGGCAGACAACTTCATCCTCACCCCACCCCCCAACATTTCTGAGCTTATCAGCCGCCAGCACGGTTCTCGTGAGCGCAAAGCTTCCCCCTCCACTCTGCCCGGGCGCCTCAGCAGAGCCCTCTGCCTCGGGACGGTCCCCTCCCTCACAAGGACAGGTAACGTTGGAAATCTAAATTGGAGTTTATGAAACCATTTTTTTTTTCTCTTTTCCATTTTCAGCTTCCGAGTATGATTCAACTTTATAGGTTGGAGTTTGCAATAGTTCTTTTTGAATAGATTTGAATTCTTGCAATAGTGTGATCAACTCATTAACTTATCATCCCACACGATATAAAAAAAAAGTAAAAGAATGGTACATGGATATATACATATGTATAATATATAAATTGAAGTCAAATTTGTGTAGCACATATCGGGAGCAAAGCAGCTCAAAATGCTTGACACCATAAAAGCATAATATTGTTACCAATTACAAAACAAGCAATAAATATTACATTTTGTCAAACACCGTGAACAAATATACATCAAATATGTTAATGAATGCTACACCACCTACTAATCAAAGGCAGTTCTTAACAGGTGGAGTTTTACCCTCAGTGTTTCAGCATCTTTGCAGTTTTTCAGAAGTCTGTTCCAGATCAGAACTGAATCCTGCTTCTGCATGTTTGGTTCTGATTGTTATGGCAAAGAATAAAACCATACCACGTATAACAATGTCCTGTCAAATTGCAAATTTGTTATTTGCACAAATCAGAATAATTCTGAAAATAAAAAAATCAAAACTTTTAGGTGAGTTTTTTTGTGTGTTTTCATGGTGTTATACTGGTTTTCTACACAAAAAGGAAACATGACAAGAGTTGTTCTTGGCTAACAAAAAGGGGTATTTTCTATTTATAGAAAATTATTTTCATTTTGTGTTTTTCTCATCTTCAGGTTCTGGCTATCTTTTTAGTGGTAGTAGACCTGGATCACAATACAAAGACTCACCATCGTCAGGTACCAAACTCTTGTTTTCTCTGATGCCACAGTACAGAATGAGGTTGTTGTTTTTTTCTTCACCGGTTTGTTTTTCTCAGATTACTTTTCTCTGAAGTCCGGGAGCCACCCGTCATCCCCGGCCCCTTCTCCCACCCCTTCGGTGGCCGGGTCGGTCACGTCCAGTTCTGGTTCAGCCAGACAGCGCCGTCCCCTCATCAGTCCGGCTCGCCTCAACATCGCCGGCCAGAAGCTCCGTCTTTTTTCCAGCGAAGCAGATCCCAAGCGCTTTTCTCCACCTTTGTCCTCGTTTCCTTTTTGTGTAGAGCCGACACCTTTGATTTACAGCGGCTGCTTGTCACGAGACGTCTCTCCTTTCCAAAGCCAGAATGGTAAGAGTCTATGGTTGACCTGGACAGAGTAGTGTTTGTTGTAGGCTGCGTGTAGCACCACTAGATGGCAGTGTAGAACATTGTCAAGCCTGAGTGTGTATAAGGCTGCAGTTTATGACATGGCTGAGATGCGAGCGGTTTTGGGTAATTGGATGAGATTGTTTTGTAGATTTAAGTTGCTTACTGAGAGATGGAAGTGTGATAGAAGAAGAAGAGAAACAAAGCAGCTCCTCGGCATCCTCCGCCTGCCAGGTTGGAACGACAACACAAAGTCCTGAGAGCTTCACTCCTCAAAAAGGTAGGCAGTCTTATTTGTAAGTAGAAGCAAGAGTAACTCATTAAGTCAATAACTGCTGATAAAATATTTTATCCTACACTAATCTATGTTGTATTATTGGTCATTTTATCCGTTTTATTCCCAGATGATCAGTGCATGAATTTACAGACAAAAAAGCTTAAACAGCGACCACTTTTTTACTTTTTTTGTCATTGTCAGCAAAATAATGGTAGTCAGTGTTTGACTGCTTTTGTGTTAGTATTTGAACTTTTCCACCCAAAATGCATAACTTTATTTAATTCTGCAGGATCAAATTGCATGTTTTAATATATATATAATATATGGGACTGTATATTGGTGTACATTGGCCAATGAAAACCATACTTACCTGTTTCCATTTAATGCTGTTCACTCTCAAGGATGGACTAATTATTTGTAGAAAAGATTTTCAGCTGCTTCCATTCACTATGTTAGAGACGGTTGTTTGACACCTGTGCAAATAATAATAATATTTTTTACTGATAATAAAAACAGTCACAGCTCATGCAGGAATTTCAAGGTCTGTCTAAATGTTGCCATGTTATATTTTTTAATTGTGTTAATTTTGATAATCGGCCATATCAACATTGGAAATTACAGGGCAGATTAGGTTTGACCAGAGGACTTTTTGAACTCTTTGTTTCTACTGACTGTAGAAATACCTATAAAACTTTTTCTTGTGCGCCTCACAATAGTCCTGGTGTTTTGTAAAAAAGGCTGAGCTTTGTGAACTGAGTGCTCACAGGTTGTAAATGTTCTGTTGTTGTTTTTGTTTTGTTTTTTTCAGGATGGAAATAAATGTAACTATTGTGGTCCCTCACACTGAGCATAATTAAAGTTTGCCCTTTAAAGTGTTAAAGTTGGGAAACCATTTAGATGCACATATAGTTTTTTGGGGTAATTTTTTTTTTAAAGCAGTATTATCCTGAGAACTGTTCAGTCTTATGCAGATTTCCCCACCATTAGAAAACCTGCAGCTTCATGCTTAATTAATGTGATCTGTACTTATTTACCAATTCCCATCATCTCAAGGTCTGTCTGGGTTTTATGGTAAATGGAACTACAGCTATATTTAGCGATTTTAACCTTGGTTTAGAAGAGTCCTGTTTCTGGTTTATTGAAATTTTAAATACTGACAACAAGCAGACAGGTTCCTGTTGCCAAATTGAGATTCTTCTCTCTTTTTTTTTTTTTTTTCTCAGGTTTTGTGAGACATTTGATCTTACCCTCGGTTTTATTGACGAGCCTGACTGCCAACCTGCTGTTCGGCTGCTTCTATCTCTACCACAACTGGGGCTGAAGCTTCAGCGAGTCTGCTGCTGGTTTTCTCATGAACTGAACAGAAAGACTGAACCTCTGGACCTTTTTTTATGTCTCTGGCCTCCAACACCAGAACCCCAACCCCACCATCTGCTGGCGTTTGACTTAAAAACAGCAGATTTCAGGAGACGCGTTTCAGTTCGAGTAAGACCTCCTGTTTTATCTGGATTGAAAAAAGAGAGCATGAACAAATTGGCCGTCCAAACGTGGGTTCCGACACCCACGTTTGGACGTGCGCTACGTGCACGATTGAGGAGATGCCGATTGGGCGCTGATGGGTCACATGTAGCCTGCTGGCACTGGTTGTGATGACTGGGTTCCTTTCATTAGCAGGAAATCTTTTCTGTCAAAATGAAGGGGCTCGCTTTGTTCCTGAGATGAAACATGTTGCGTTTTGAAATGTAAAGACATGTGGTGTTGATGTGTATTGTTATGTACATTCATCTGCAAAACGGTTCACTGTTGCTCTGTTGTTAACTTCACCTAATGCAAAGGTTACATTTATTCACTACTGAAAAGGTTCTCAGAAAATAAGGTATCTTTGTTTATATGTATTTATCCAGTCAGCCATTAGCACCATCAAGAAGAATATCTTTTTTTATTGTTGTTATTAGTATTTAGTCATTGCTAGTTTCCTTGCTCTGTTTGAGTTGATTATTTAGTTCTCGGAATATGTGGGTTTATAATCGTGTAACATGAGTACGGGTGTTTTGGTACATTTAGTGTGAATGTTGATTTAATGTAAGTTACACTTGTGAAAATTGTATCGGACTTTTTTTGGTAAATAGGGACTTTTTTAGTTCTATTTAATTTTTTGCTGTGACTTTTTTTCTTAGAAAAATGATGCTAATTCGAACTTTTAATTAATCTTTTAAGTGATTTGTAGCAATGTAAAAAAAATGCTACTGTAAGGTCTCTGAATGACTGTTTAATGACAGATGCATGAAGCTATCATTGGGCAGCCTTATGGTTTTCAATGTACTGTTCACTGAACCGACTGATGCATTTATACTTGAAGTGTGACGGTCTTACGTTTGAAATCATGTTTAAACAGAAATGATCTTTTCTACTCAAACAAGATTAACCTCAGAGAGAAAAACATTTTTTTTATTTGTTTCAAAATGATTTTTTTCTTATTGGTAAAATGAACACAGTGCATGTTTGTTTTCTTTGGACGTCACTAGTGCTAAAATCAGAGATATTGATGAGATGAAGTTGTCTGTTTACATCAGTGGTTTGAAGGTTTGTGGTTCTGCTGTTCAGCTGAGTGTTACTCTGGTATAACCATCATGTACCAGTGCTTTTTTTTAAATAAATGAATATTTTGTAACTCAATTTGTGTTGTTCTGCTTTTCTTTTTTAATCCTCTGATGCATGACATACTGACTATTCAGTCTTCCATGAGTGGGTCTTTTTTTTAAATCAAAGCGTTTTTATGCTGCTTTTGTTATTTTGATT